AAGAGAAACCATGGGGTGAAATTAATAAAAATTGTAATTGTAAAAAGTATAATTAAAGATGCTTTATAATTAAAAAAAAAAAAATAATAATAATTTTAACGACAATTTCGGACAATCAAGCTTTTAATGGAATAAAAATGCAATTTCATTTCCATCTCCATTTAAACGCAATTTGTTACATGTTTATTAAAACATACAAAATTCGATTACGCTTGCATAATAAGCCAAAATACAAAAAAAATTAACCAAACAATATTTTCCACCGGCGCAAACAAAAATTCAATTGCCGCCTACAAATATGGTTGTGGATGCGTACGTCAATACTGACAAGCATTTAATTAAAATGCAATTGCAGTGTATGTCCCCTGAGCCCAATTTCCAGGCGCTCTGCTGGCATTAGCTCCCAATTTGTGTTGCACGATTGTATTATGGTCGGCAAAAAGGCCCTCAGAGACGCAACAATGCAGTTATGGCCCATTCCCTGCCGCACCACAGCGCATAGTTGCACATATTCATAAATTCATTCTTCATTTGACTGCCCAGTTGGGAATATGTCCCATCATGCACTCCTTTTCCCGACAAACATATTCGTACCCGCTACCCATTTTCGTTTGCATTTTATGGTCGTCTACATCATTACTTATGCACTTTCTGCATTGACAAAGCTCGTTATGTAAAATCTTAAATAATCCGACTTGCCACAGTCACACTTCACATGTACATATTTGTGTTTCTCGGAGTAACTATAGGTGTGGTGACAAGGCGGCCGTTTAGAAAAGGGGCCAACACGTTCACACTTTGGCCTTCTAAGCACACCGCACGACGAGACAGCGAAATGACTTGGTTAAACTCTCTTCCGCTAACTGCTTTTGTACACAGCGAGTTGCGTCTTTTTACACGCCTCAATTGTCTGGACGCATATACCATATCTATTTGTATAGGCATGAACTTGCTAAGCAGTAGAAATACTTGTGCACTTTTTATTATTATTATTATTTAAGGGGTAATTATTAACTTATTTTATGTCATAGTTTCTACTGTTCTTTCCAGTCTTCAAATGGCGTACAGTATGTGTTCATGATACTATTTATTTTTCAAAAGCGTTATTCCTGAGCGTGCCTCTGAGAATATATTAAACAGATTCTGGAATTAAAAATATACTTGTATAATAGTTCTCGCTTGATTAAAATTCAACTTATCCTTATTTGTCAGTATGTTGTAAAAGCTTTATTGTTGGTACCAACTGATGAGTTAATAAGTTGAAGAAAGAAAAATATGACATATTTTAACAAAATTGGACTGTTTAACGGTTACTATATCGTTCGATTAGAAGCAACGACTACAATTTCACCGATTTAGTAAACTGTTGTCCTTCTTGGAAAAGAAAGGAAAGAATGCTACATGCATTGAATGTGGATTCTGAGTTTACCTGTCACTGCTGTTGTCTTCCCGCTTATACTATTTCCAAAATTGTTTTACATAACCTCACCTAACCTACAAATAGAGAATGCTCAGCCATACTAACACCAAGCAAGAAGATTTCATAACTCCTCAGAATATTAGATATCTTTAATTTCCGTTTTTACTTTACAAGTTTACTTTACCAATTTAATGAAACTGCCATCTGTGAGAAGCAATTCAACATATAATTATATATTTATAAAAAACTTTAAATTTAAGAAAAATAAAATCATTTAAGAAAAATTAAAAGCACGAGGTAAAATACATTGTAGATTTATCTATGCTTTGTAGAAAACCGCCGTATAAAATGAATGTTATATGAAAAAAAAAAATTATTTTATATCAATATTATAAATCTCAATTTATAACTCATTTATAAAAATCAACAAATTTAAAAATTTTTTTCTAATAAAATGAATTATAAAAAGACTTAAACTTAAACTCGATTAATAAATAATTGCTTTTTCAACTTTTACTGCGATTATCAAAGTAAAAAATAAAAAATAACGACACCCTGTAATCTGTTCTGTGGAATGCCTTTTTGTTTGTTCAGAAAACTGATTGCATCCCACACATAATTAAAATTCATTTAAATTCAGCGGATTTAAATGTATTTATACAAATTTATTTACCATACACACACATCCATAAACCGAGTGTGTAAATATAAAACTGCATACAGACAAATAAATGCAACGAAGAATTACAACAACCCGCGTATGTTTGCTTATTTAGGTCACAATGAAACCGTGAAAGTGCATTGATTATTTGCTCGATTGCCTGGCTGGCTGATTGGCTGACTGGAGAGCGTTTGACTTGATGTTGGCGGCGGAGTTTAATGCATTTGCCTTGCCGCCCATCGCCTGTGCTTCTGCTATCAGCGGGCTAGCCAGCCGCTACTTCTATGATAAAAGCTTAATAATTCACGTAAACAGTTGCTTTTGTTGTTTATATGCCACATATTGTTTTATAGTTCTTTTTTTTAAATTTTTTTTATTTTTTTGTGATTTTTACACCGCAAATGCTGCATAAAGAGCCACTTGAAAGGCCAAAGCCGAAATCGGACACGCACTTTGCCATTAAACATAATTAAGCATATTTTACGACTGATCATTATATTTACTAAATGGACTTTAACAAACACAGACAAGCGCACACCTGCTTACATGTGTGGTTAGATGTGCAAGCTTAATTACTTATCCATATATGAAATTTCGTCGGTTGCTTGAACTATATGTTCGGCAGTGCATTGCACTTTGACGCATTGTTTATTTTTGTACTTGCTAAATTATAGTTTATTTTCTAACACCGAAGTAATGATTAATTTGTGGTTAATAATGTTGGTATAAAATAATAAATTGTTGTTTACTGTTATAAATAATTTATTGCTAAAGTGCGAGGCAACATTTATACTTTCGAAGTGGGAAGTGGAGCTTGAAAATAAAAATAGAAAATAATTTTTATTCACAATTATAAATATAAACACTTTTTGTACCTTAAATAGGGTATATTAAGTTTGCCACGAAGTTTGTAATACCCAGAAGAAAACATTATGAAAAATTATAACTAAAGAGCTAAATGTGTGAAATGTGTGTGTGCGTTGCAACTACGGGCATAACTTTTAACAAATCTGGTTTGATACGGGCGGTAAGTACGGAAGGGAGAAATGTCGGTGACTGTTTGAAGCATGAAGCCATTTAGCCATGTCAGCGTACGAGACGAGTCATTCAGTTTTTGAAATATCGATTTGAAATTTTGCGCATTTCCTTTTCTCCTCAAGAAGCTGCTGATTTGTCAGAACCGGCCTTGCTAAAGTAATGAATGAAATTCGTGTTCGAACGCATTTTGTTTGAACTTTAGTCAAGTGAAGATGATTATGAATGATTTTAATAAAATATTTATATTAACATCTGATCAAATTTGACCAGAACAAAAAAAAAAAAAACATTGCCACAAATAGTTATATTTATTATCGCCTTCAAAATAGGATCCTCAGCCAGTAACAGCCTGCCAACGCTTAATCCAATTTTTCATGCACTTGTTTTAAGCCTCAGCTGGAATGTCCGTCAGTGTCTTCATCGAATTTTGTTTTTTTTTTTTTTGTTTCGGCTCATTTTTACAACGTCATTGGCTAGATTGTTTGGAAAATTTAGACTTCTTATTCATAAACTTCCGTCTCATCAACAGCATCGATGTGTTTGATGCATGTAGGGCCCTCAGCTACGTTGTCAAGCGTCTCTTTTTGGCACCTACTCGACGTCTTGTTTGGTAAATATTCTGCCTTTTAGTACGAGTCTGCCATTGGCACGCTTCATACCTAAAATATTTACCAAAATGTGTTGTGTCGATTCATAAGAGATGTTGAAATCATCTGCTATCTTTCTGATGTCTATACGACTTTAAATTCTTTGATGTTATCATTATCAGATGTGTATGGATAACTCGCAAGAGGTATGTTTTCGATAATTTCATGACCTTCACTGAATGTTTTGGGCCACTCAGAATACTTGTTGTTCGTAATAAAGTAGAATCCCCAAAACATTTCTGTAACGATTTCAATGATTCCGAAGCCGTGATTTCATGAGGAATACAAAATATCAAGCAAGTTAGGTAACTTTCCGAGTTAAATGAAGATCAAATTTCATGCGAACGTAAGAAAAGGTTGTAATAATCTAATAAAAAAAAAATGTATCGATTCGTTTTACGCTCGCAAGGATCAGTTCGTGTCAATTTCGATCAGTGTTTGGGTACATGTTAGTTATCTAGTTTCTTAGAGTCCAATAGAAGCTTTTATAGCCATACTTCTTCCGGCTATGTCGATGGGTGCTAAATGCAGAATGGCATAGAGTGCCATGGTTGGTTTGGTCGTTAGTGCTTCACGAATACTAATGACGCCGTTTAGTGAACGTTCTCATGTCGCGTGTCATAGCGAGCTATTTCCAACGTTCTCCACCGCACACGAACCCCATAAAAATGGGTTTAACTATGATGCATAAGTATATTTGAAAATATTTTGCAAAATATTTCTTTCCAACATAATAAGACATAATTCTAACAGGTCGAAAATTAAAAAATTTTCAAAAAAAGTTCAGGATCATATATTTACAAGTTTTTTATTTTAATTTCGAATTCGTACGAATAAACATTTGCACTGCTAGTTATATTTTTGTTTTTGCAAATTTCAATCGCATACATAAATGAACTGGCGCTATTTAAGCAAATAATCTAAGCTGTCGAATCGCGATCGCTGTGCGTGAATAAATTTTTTCTTTGACGAACCTTTGAACGAGCGAAGAATTTCTTTTTGAACATAAAGAAACTGCCACTACCTTTAGCACTCCCTCATTTCGACCAGATCGCAGTCTGTGCTAGATCACATGGCACACACATACATACATATGTACGTGCGCATGTTTCGTATGAATAATTAATTTCTAATTTACTCCGCAGACTCCTCACAACCGTTTCATAACCTTACTGCCATCGCCTGCAAGATAATGATTAATTTTCGTATTTGCTCTCTCTTCTTGTCTTTACAGAATTAATGATCAATTTCATTTTACGATAACAATAGAGCAAACAACAACAACAGCAGCAAAAGCATGAAAATAAACACGCGAACAACCAGCAGAACAGCAACGAAACCAAAACGATTCCATTAAGTGATCTGAACGAAAATGTCGAACAAACAACAAAAACGTAAAGAAAAACAAGAATTAAAATAATAAAAAAGTGTCTAAAAAATTAAAAACATTTGCGTCGAAGAAATTGTGAAGAAAACATTAGTGAAGAAAAAGCAAAAAAAATAAAATCTATCCTAAAAATAATATAAAAGCTGAAGCAATAGCATAAAAAATACGAACAATAAATTAAGTCAGTCAATCAAAGAAAAATATAAAAATGTCGAAATGTCAAAATAATTCAAATAATTCGACGCAGCTTTTAATGCGCTGCATTTTCAGAGCAGATATAAGCGGTGGAGCCACCACCCTTTGCCGCTAACGGCGCTCCTCTTCGATTGATGTGTGCTGTTATAATATTTGTGGAGGAAAAAAATCTGCCAATGACAAAATAAAGCGGCGCCGCAATTAAATAAAGCAAACGCATAACACCAATAATAATAATAACGAAGTGCTAGCAATTAGAGGCAATTAACGTAATTGTTGAAAATTGTCAAAACATTCTTGAAAGCCGCAAGAAATAATAATAAAAAAATATCCGAAAAGTGTTGCCTCAGTGTTCCTACTTTGAGGTTAAGTGTTCTTTCTTTTTCAAAAGGGAATATATAGTGTATTCATCACTATGGATTTGAGCTTAGAACGCGATAGCAGCTCTGCGCTGGGCAGCCTCTTTCAGCAGATTATTAATGATTTGAAGGTAAGTTAAAATTTTTTATTCGAAACTAAAGTACTTAACTTCAATAAAATACATATTTCATATGGCATTTTAAATATATATTTTATAAGTTCATCGGCTCAAAAGAAATGAATAATTTATATTAATTGAATTAATAGCATTATAAAAGAGATCCTATAATCTATAGCAGGGTTGCCAAAAAATTTATATACGGAAACAATAAAAATTACAACAATAAAAAAAATAGCTCGACTCAGAACTATGTGTATACTGAAAGTTGAAAAAAAAGTTGTCCACAGTTCTGTCTATTCCAACTAAGAGATACCTACACAGAGTTTGTGTTATTCTCATTCCTACAACCTGTCTATGCATGGGGGTCTCATTGACAAAGTTAACGTCGACTTCAATGACCAAGGGAGAGAGTACAAGAATTACTCTGGGACCAGAAAATGATTAAGGTTTGGCCATATCTTGAGTTCGACTATTCCTTGATCTCTAGTATGTTTTTTTTTTCGCATTTTTTTTAAATGCGCGTCACAACCTCTTCCAAACGCTGTTAAAGCAAAAATTTTGAGTCCGATTTGCCTGAAATTTTTACAGTAGGCTTACACTACACTACAAGTATTTTATTTACAGTCAATTTGCGACTGTAATGTTAGAGGCTGTTTCTTGCTAATTTTGGGTTGCACATAGATTATTTTGTGTTATAGTCAAGGATGGTAGGGGTCAAACCACCACTATTTACTAAAATGACAAACATTTTTGAACTCAAATTCGTAATCAGGACACCTTAAATACACCCACAGACCTCTTAGCTCATCAGCCTCAAATTGTTTCTTCAGATTTGTTGAGTAGTGCCATGTACTACACGATGGTAAATTTCTCTTGCGATAGTGGCGTTAGCGGGAGGAGAGCCAACGTTTTAGCAAGCGTTGTCCTCAGACAATTTGTTGTGATTTGTAGTTGGATTCTTGAAGATGCCCTTAACATTTATTACCAGATTTTCATAGACCTTTTTTTTAAGTTACAAAAGGGTAATGTCCTTTAACTGCGAAATTTATAAGCTACTCGACTGCTCACTGACTTCTTTTACTTGTATGCTTTGCAAATGCTCTGCTTCTATACAATATGCAGAAAGTCAAGATCGTGTGCACATATTTGTTGATATGCATAAAAATATAAAATAACCAAACAAGTGAACGACCAGGCGAGGTTGGCTACCGCAGTTCTTTTGTTTGTCTCGTCATATTTGCTGTGCGTTAATTTTGTTTATTCTAAGACCTCACAAAGTGCAATTAAAAATTTGTAATTCAGTGCACAGCCCGAGGCAACAGCTGGGGTCTATAATAAAAAAGTCTAAATCAGAAAGTGAAATGAAAGAACAAAAGGAATTGCGGCAGCAAGGTCAAAAACGTCGCTCCTGCTCTCTGTCTCACTCTTTGGCGCTCGGCGTGCATTCAAATGTCCAACGCACGGCTGCTACTCGAGTCGGTACAGATGTTTTCGGACATATGATACGAAAAATGCTTAAAAAAAATAAAACAAAAACAAAAAATATTATAATAAGAGCTGCACACAAGAAAGTCATACGAAATTGGTAAACAAAACATTTGACGCTAAATATTTCTGTTAGCGAGTGTGTGTTTGTATTTGTTTTTGTGTGTTATTTGCAATATTTCTCACGCATGCATTATGTATGCCGCAAGCGTTTTTGGTTTCTGCTTTATTTTCTTATCCTTCTCTTAATTTGTTCAAATTATTTTGGCTGGGAATCAAAGGGTATACACACTCAATATAACAAGCCCGCAGTTAGATTTCGATTTATAAAATTACTTTCTGCTCATTTGTACAGAAATACTATATATTAATAATAACCAAAACATAAAAAAAAATGTAAAATAGGATAGGCTAATAGCGGCGTATAATTAATTGTTGGTCGGGTGGCCATGTGGTTTTCGGCTGCTCGGAAATTGAATTGTTATTAAATTCCGTTGTGACCTTGAAATACAAATGCAAAGAAATTAATTTATTTTGTGAAGCACACTCAAATTGGCTGCCTTGGTATACCGCAATTACTGCAATTTTTTAAAATGATTAATTAATTGAAGTCTCTCCAATTCTTTTCACCAATAGATGCCGCTATATTCAACAGCTTCAATTTCTGACATTAGGAAGATGTCTAGAAGTTGGTTTATTTGTGGATGCCATCTCAAAAGAATTGCGTCATCTTAGCGGCCAAGAATGAATTATGTCAATTTTTAATACACTACACGGGTGAGGCAAAACTTCCAAATAGGCCGCGGTTTTCCAAATAATTTTTATTGCGTCGTGTTTAGTCGCAAATTGCAGGCGTTTTTCGGCAATTGCCCTTCTAATTTGATTTTTACCTGGTTTAGAAGCTTGTATAATATAAGCACGCCCTTCTGATCCCACCAAATACTGAGCATTACCTTGGCATTATGGATATTCGGATTTGCCGTTAATTTGGATCATTGGCCTGGTTTTAGATATGATTTTTTGCGTTTGGGTTTGTCGTAATGAATTAATTTTTCATCACTAGTAACAATCCGATGCAGAAACGACTTCTTTTGTAGCGTTCAAGCAGCATTTCTTTGATAATCGCACGATATAGTTATAAACCTAATATTTGTTATATATACGAATATATAGAATAATTTAAATGCACTACTTAATTTTAACATCTTACTTCAAAAAAATCTGTCTCAGGCATTCTTCTACCAGTTAAAGCTAACCAGCTTTATCCGCCTACAAGTCTACGGAGTTTTCGCTGATTGCAAGTGCGACAAATAATCATATGTCTCAGTTTAAAGCAACGTCACTCATACATGGGTCCTGAAACTTAGAAACTCTCATGCATATTAGTTATGCTTTTTACAATACTGAGACGTAATTTATATCGACGAATAAAACATGACAAAAGTTAGTTCTAGTAGTCCACTATATTGAACTTTCGAGGTCGGTTGGGTTATGAGCTTTTGCCTTTATTTAAAAGCCACCAAATGACCTCGCGATTCGCAAAGATATCGCCTTGAAATGTCGGCTCATATTTTCCAAGAGAAAATTTAAGTTATGCACGTACATTCTACAAACACTAGAGATTCTAACATAAGAGTCAGGCAAAATCATGGGCTTGTGTAAGTCTAAAAATCACCCTAAATCTTATTTGTCCGTAATGTAAATCCAAGAAAAGACACAGTTCCACCACCAGAGTCATTCTCAGAAGCTGCTTATTTGTTATGATGGATCTAGGTTTCGTTCCCGGTGAATTGTCACAAAACTTCGACTGAAACTGGCGTTGAGCATTGTCCAAGTACGTTCGTATTAGTCACAGCGTCATTGGTATAGTTTAATAAGAATAATTATGACGCCCATCACAAGGTAATCTTTTTAAAATTCAAATATTCGAGCTATTGTTATAAGGAGTGTTGTTTTTATACTCTCGCAACCTGTTGCTACAGAGTATAATAGTTTTGTTCACCTAACGGTTGTTTGTATCACCTAAAACTAATCGAGTTAGATATAGGGTTATATATATATAAATGATCAGGATGAAGAGACGAGTTGAAATCCGGGTGACTGTCTGTCCGTCCGTCCGTCCGTGCAAGCTCTAACTTAAGTAAAAATTGAGATATCTTTATGAAACTTGGTAGACATGTTTCTTGGTACCGTGAGACGGTTGGTATTGCAGATGGGCGTAATCGGACCACTGCCACGCCCACAAAACGCTATTAATCAAAAACAAATAAATTGCCATAACTAAGCTCCGCAATAAGATACAACACTGTTATTTGGTACACAGGATCACATTAGGGAGGGGCATCTGCAGTTAAAACTTTTTTTAAAAAAGGGAGCGTGGTCCCGCCTCTAATAGGCTTAATGTGCATATCTCCTAAACCGCTAATGCTATAATAACAAAATTCACTAGAAGCAAATGTTTTTAGCACTTCTATTGATGGTGTGAAAATAGTTGAAATCGGGTGGCAACTCCGCCCACTCCCCATATAACGGTACTGTTAAAAACTACTAAAAGCGATAAATCAAGCACTAAACACGCCAGAGACATTAAATTTTATCTCTGAGATGGTATAAATTGGCTTTATAGGAACCGCGTTCAAAATTAGTCAGTGGGCGTGGCATAGCCCACTTTGAGGTGAAAACCCATATCTTGAGATCTGCTCAACCGATTTCTACCAAATTCGGTGCATAACGTTTTTTTTCATGTTTCTATGTCATAGTGCGAAAATGGGCGAAATCGGACTACAACCACGCTTACTTCCCATGTAACACCATTTTCAATTCCATCTGATTCTTTCACTTTCCACTATGCAAATCAGGTAACAATGATTATATCGGGGTAAAACTTTGCGTGAATAATGCAATTAAAGTATGCCACCTTGCGGCCAAAAATTGTCTAAATCGAACCAAAACTGTTTAAACCCCTAAGTACTAAATATGTGGACCCCATTGCCTATAGTTGACCTTCTACCGAAAATATCAGTCAATCCACAAAGAAATCTCAAACGAGTATACCATTTGACTTTGCGAGAGTATAAAATGTTCGGTTACATCCGAACTTAGCTCTTCCTTACTTGTTTTAGATGTGTGACGTGTTTTTGTTAGCTGTTACTTGATTTATACTCAATTTGGTTTGCCATTTTGTAATGAACAAATTTACTTCGGAGCAACGTTCGGAGTATGGATCCAAAACGTGATGGCCACCGAACTCGATTTTCACAAGAAAATTTTGCTCAGCGATGAAGCTCACTTGTGGCTGAATGGATACGATAATAAACAAAAATGTCGCGTTTGATGTGATGATAATTCACAAGCCATTGTTGAGACGTCGTTACATCCTCTAAAAGTCACTGGTGTCACAAGTCACAAGTGTGCTCTATAGGCAGAGGAAATCTTTCACCCATATCTCTTCAAAAATGAAGCCGGTCATTATCTTACAATCTATGTCGATCGCTATAGAGCCAAGATTAATGACTTTTTCATGC